TGTTCCCACCAGATGTGAGCTAAATTGCGAAAGCACCGGTGGTCGAACGTAACTAGCCTCTTCACGTCCGCTGCTTTAAGCGGCCACGTTTCACAACGATACAGTAGGGTCGAACGTACCGCTGCATTGTACACTCTACCCTTCAGGGCAAGGGTGATGTCGCGCCGGCGCCATAAGTGGTGAACGTTAGCAAAAGCGCCTCGAGCTTTTATCATACGGTTCGTGATCTCATCTTCAATCCCACGGACGTTGATACAACTTCCCAGGTAGTTGAATTTTTGAACGACTTCTAGCTCATCCCCACCAAGGGTCAGCGAAGGTGGCGATCCAAACCAATCTTGGAGGAATGCTTTGCACTTCGATGGTGCAGAGCAAAGCCCGAAGCGGCTGACATCCAATGCTAATCTGTCCAGTGCCGCTTGGCACGTCTGGGAGCTGTCACAGATTAGGGTACTATCGTCAGCATACTTCAAGTTAAGAAGTCGTTCTCCTGGGAGCAGATCCACACCTTCTAAGTCGTGTCCTATGAACGCGATTTCCATGACTTCGTCAGTAGCGAATTTGATGAGGAAAGGTGACAGCGGGCATTCTTGTCTCACACCGCTGGAGATATTAAGGGGTGGCGACAGCTTGCCGTAAGCCCTCACTCTGCCCGAGCTACGCGCATATAATGCTCGGATAATATTTACATTTCTCTCAGACACAGCTTTCCTGAGTAGACAGTCCCAAAGTGAAAGTCTATCCACCGAATCGAATGCACCTTTGATATCGAGGAACACGACAACGGTGGGCCGCCAATATATGTGACGGTGCTCCAACAACTGACGCAAGGTGAAGATGTGGGCAATGCAGCCACGACCTCGACGAAATCCAGCTTGCTCTTCACGAATATGGCTTTCACAAGTGGCAGTCAGTCTGCGAAGGATGACAGAGGCAAGCAACTTGAAGTTGATGGAAATCAGACTGATTCCTCTATGGTTGCTGCATTCCGATCGTGAGCCTCCCTTGAAAATTGGGACTATGACGGAGCGGCTCCAGTCGGTTGGGACAGTCTCCTGCTCCCACAGTTTCACTAGTAACTCGTATCAATCACCCACAAGAGCAGGTCCCCCGAATTTGTAGAGGGTTGGAGGTAGTTCATCGGGTCCCGCGGCTTTATTTAACTTCAACGATGCGATCTCACGTTCGACTTCTGAGCGAGAGGTTGGATCCAAAGGGACAGCCTAGGGAGCGGGGCGATCAGTGGCCGGCGAGAAATCTGACAATCCCGACCGATTAAATTGCCCTTTAAAGTGCTCAGCCCAACGTTCCAAGCGTTTTGACAAATTGTGGATAGGCTGTCCACTCTCGTCACGTATAGTTTCACTAACCCCAGGTCTTCTGCTGCCTGTTTCCCGTATCAGCCGGAGTAACTTACGATGGTTACCAAGGGCAGCGGCCATTTCCATCACTGTTGCACGATTAGACCACCAGGAATCACGGTCTCTCTTCAGGCTAGCACGGAGTTTTGCCCGGAGCTCTTTGCGAGTTTCGTTATGTTCGCTTCCAGGCGGAATATGCCGGTGAGCATCGATAAGTTCTAGACTGCGAAGAGACGCAATGTCCATGTTGGCGATTAGACTTACAACATGAGGATTTGCCTGCTGCTAGTAAGGACTGGTGAATATGAGATCAGTGAACTTCAACTGCATCCGGTGAGCTTTTATTCAACTCGCATCACAGCGTACTTTGATAGGCATTCAGAGCAGCTGGATTCACCAGTCTGCCGGTGTCAATCCGCTCACAATGTCGTCTTGGGCGTCCGCCAAAACGCATCCGCATGTCAGCACATACAAATGCATGGTCGGTGTCCACTCCTGTGCTCCAAATCGAGCGACAGTACTGGACGCAGCCTCTCCATCGGTAACTTATCACAATGTGATTGATTTGCGTCCATAGTTGGTTCGAGGCTGGTGGGCGCCAAGTCACCCTCCGGCGGGTGCTGTGTCGCAAGTTAGTGCTCGCAAGAAACAAGCGAACATCTTCACACAAATGAAGTAACCGCTCACCGTTATCATTACAGGAGCCTACACCATGTTGGTCGCCCAGATGCGGATTATCAGTGGATAATTTTCCAACTTGAGCGTTCAGATCCCCAGCCAGCGCAACTGGGTCCGAGCTACTTCTGTGGCGAAGGAGCTCGTTCAGTTGACGATAGAAGTCATCTTTCACCGAATCATCGTTTGTGGGTGCATAGGCAGCGAGGATGACTAGACATCTGTTAGTCCCGCGCGACTTCGAAGCTTTGAAGGAGCCAGCCAATCGGACTGCACACATCCGGCTACTGATTGGAATCCAGTCAACCGGAGCAGCTTCAGCCCGGCGAGTCGGGGCGATACCAACACCGTTGATTATCCTCTGCGGTGGCCAGAGCATCAAGAAATTGTTTGAAGGGGAATTCATTGTATTGCGTGGGCAGGATACTGTCAGGTTGCCCAGGCCTAGCGAGGAGAACAATTAGAGTTCTCAGCTAAAGCTTTTGTCTCAAATACCTGACCGGAAGGCAGCGGGTTTGGCGTTGGGCTACAAGGAGTCCGTTTTAAGGAATAAGGAGCCACCCTCATTCCAACCCCTAACCTGGAGTACCAGGAGGCTGAGTTTGTCTGGCCTCTACCGATTGACAAATCTGGTCTGAATGGCTCTGAAGGTGCAAAAAAAGCACCACCGAGCATAGCTCAATGGATCGCTGAGGCACACAAACCATCGCACCACGGAAAGGTCCAGCCTCATTGCGATGGGCAGATGGCTTAACGCATTGTTAACTTATTTTTTGAACACGGAAAGCAAGGGCTATTCTGGGGCCGATGCGCTCGGAGGGCTGGAAAATGCTGTGGCCTTCTAACCTGCTATTCTGTGTGTTCTACCGCAACCGGGGACCCCTAAGGTTGGTGTTGTGAATGAGTTCCGGGAAGTGTCAGAAAGTTTGGTTAGGTTTCTTAATGGCATTGTACGCCTTTGTGAGGACAAACCGTAGCTACTTATATTATTTAGCAGACACTTTTAAAGAGCTCAGTTTAAATCTATATGGGGGATGATACAAGCCCTTAACGCTCTTTGTCCTCTCTCGCTGTGAAGTTTCCAGTGATGAGAGGTCTTGTTCTTGTCAGTGTTACGAAGTGCGGAAGGTGTATCCACGTGTGGCCTCACATGTGTGTTGGGCATTGGCGCGAACATAGAAGCGTTACACCGCCCAAACGCCCCTGCAAGTGTCCCATCTGCTGGTGTCAGGTTTTCGTAATTCTCCGAGCAGCAAAAGTCATTCTGGGCCGGTACTACAATGTGTTACACTGCTGAGAGATTTTACAAGTAGCTATCTTCAAACCTACGTTCACTCTATGACCGATGATGTATATGGACCACCATACATTTAGCCGTCTCGGACTGAAGAATCTTCATTGAGTACAATTCATGTCATTAGCGTACAAGCTGAGTGAAAGTCCATATGCTTATTGACCCTTTTATACCCATAGCTACAAATCGGCTGTTCTTTGTTGACTCACGTCTACACTAACCCCAAAATCTTAAGCTACTTCCAACTAGTCATTCTGAAACCGTTGTCTTATGTAGCTACCAGCTGATAGATAACCATAGCGGTGTGTGCTTGTAGAGCACGTAAGCTTCTTTTTCATCAGTTAACCCGCTATCTTAGTTGAGGCGGTGAACAACAAAATCCGAACTTACTGAATTCGGACTATTTTGGTGCTAAGTTATTCTTCCTTCCCAATAAATTGCGAATTTTTTTATGTTGTCACCTTTCGCATGATTCTTATTTTGGTGCGGTTAGTCTATTATCAACCAAAGTCAACATTTTGAACTACGTATGTGTCCATAGATATCCCAGTAGGAAAGCCGACAGAATTTGACGTGATAACGGCTGGTGCCGGACCGCCATCGAACAGCAAGCCCCGTCCAAACGTCGTCGTCAAATCGCCGTCAGGAATGCGGATCCCGTGCACCTTGATGGAAACTGTGGATGGTTTCACGCCCTCATTCACTCCGACCGTGGCGGGTCCGCACACAGTTGCTGTGGATGTCGGTGGCATTCCCGTGAAGGGTAGTCCGTTCCGCACCACCGCGGCGCCAGACATTCCAGTCCAAGAAGCAATCTATCCCATGACAAGCGGCCTACAGCAGCAAGCTGCAGTCTCACCGTTGAGCAGCATGGATGCGGCCGGTTTGGTCCGCGCATTCGGCGATGGTCTTTATCACGCGACTGCCGGAAGACCGGCACACTTCACCATTGACAGTCGAGAGGCACCACCCGCACCGCTCAGTGTGACCATTGAGGGCCCGGCCGAGGCGAAGATCAACTACAATGACAACGGTGACGGTACCTGCGGCGTCCAATATCTACCCACCGAACCTGGACCTTATGTGGTCAACGTACTGTACAAGGATATTCATATCAAGGGCAGTCCTTTCCCGGTACGGGTTGCGCCCCCTGGACGGGAGCATATTGATGTGTCCCGTGTTCATGCTTACGGCCCCGGACTGCAACCAACCGGTAGGACTCCGCATCCATCACTGAAGACAGCTTCGTCCATCTCGGACACAGCATGTAGTGCATGAGATTTGGCTTTCAATGTGATCTGTTTTCATTCGTGACCGAGTGCAGCTACTGTTAAATCGATGTTCTCGGAATGGACTCCTGCATGCTTTTGCAATTGCAAGTAGTGGTTCCTTGAAAACTGTCTTTTGTACACATGGTCGCGAAACAGTAATATCAATGTCTACTTTCCAACTGGCTCCATTGAACTTCTTTTGGTATACTCAGTGTGAACGCATGGCTTTTCTTTTACTAACTCGGACTCATTTTTGTTTTAGTGGACTAACTGCTTGCATTCAGTGTGATGTCCGTGGCTTAAGACCCAGTGACCTTTTATTTTAACTATGGCTGCGATTGCTTCTCTGTGAGAAATTATTACTTCATTTTCTGAACCCTATTATTTTCTCTCTTTCAGGGGTCTTAAAAGAATCATTTGCTAAATTTACCGTGGACGCCAAACCAGTTGATCCGCAGGGGCGTGGACTCGTCAAGGCAATCGTGGTCAATCCGCACAAACAACGCACCGCCTGTCTGGTTCAGAATAACGCAGACGGAACATGGAAATGTAGCTACTCGCCAGTCGACGAAGGTGAGTCCGTCAATTGGAACCCGGCGGGGCTGCTCACAAGTTATTCATATATTCAGTGTATGCTTCCATCTGCTTTTATTTCAACGTTGCGCAGCATAAAATACTAAACGAGTTAAAATTCATACAGTGTTTCAACTGGTTATCAAAGGCTAGCGAAGCCAGCAGGCTGCCTTTTCAGTGGGGCGAACTGCGTTCTCCAACTTTCTATCATCCAGATACACCACTGGGTAATAGTTAAAAAGTTGTGATGATGCACTGAGTATAGGATTCTCGGTGCATTTTATTGAGGGTTGTTCACAATGGCTGAAACTTAAACGAGCTCCCATACATCCGGATAGGTCCTGGACAGCAGTTTTCATCTATTAGAACTTATCATTAGTATGCGTCTTTCATCTCGCTCTCCACTAACTTGGTTCTTTCCAACAAGCTAATCAGAAGACGTATTATGGGAGATGACACCGTCATTCCGTGCATTCGTTTGATCACAAACATACAACGTTGGTATTGTTAAGATTGGGAGACGCCTTTGGTAAAACTTGGAGCCTGATACGATTGTCACTGGCACGCTTTTAGCATGCCAACGATAACGGCATGCAACGCTGTCAGATCGAACATATTTACGCTAATGTGATGGTGTTAGCTTAGCTCGGGGTACGCGCTGGTGAGGTGGGAAACCGCGCTAGCGTGAGAACGTTGCTAGCCACACGTATTCAGCTGGACGCTTAGCCCTCGTAACGGACGAGGCTACGCACACGAGGGGGTGACGGTGGACGCACGCTAGCAACTTAGACGCGAACGCTGCCCGGCTATCGACGCACACAAAAAGCACGTGATCGAACCGACTCCCAACTAACGGCACAAAGCAAGCAAGACATATGGTCCTCTGAAGGCATTTTTACGACCACCAAAGGACGAATCACAACCAATACTATGGGTCAATAAGTTAGTGAAAATAGCTACCGCGACGGGGTACTAGTTTGTAAAAGAACACTGTCAACATGTGCGCAGTTGTGCCGCTTCTCGGAGTGGCTGAAATCTGCTACGTTGGGGGGAAGAACTGAACTCCGCTCTCCACATCCACTACACCGGAGTTTGTGGCGCGTTTTTACGGGGATATTTGACGGGTCCGCAACTGGTATACAAACCACAACAGTGTCATAAGAGCTCGCACGTAGTCGCGCGCTTGCACTACCTAGGTAGACTTAGAGTACCAGTGAGTTATTTCAAGCGGTGTGCATGGATGATCGTCCACTTCTAAGCGACTTGGGCAAAAAAGTATCGGGTCGAAATCGAGTTACTCAGGCGACCGAGGTACAGACGTGCATAACGTCGGTCGAGTTGCCGCATGGCCGGAGAACACCTGGCCATCCGTCGGCCTGTATTAGGCTTATCGATCGATCGATTAACACTTGGTGGTTAAGTAAGTTCATCATCATCAATACACGTTAGCTGAGGGTGGGAAATACTTTTCCGCTAATGTGTCGCAATACAAAACGATAATAAAAATGACACTACAACTATTATATTATTAATTTTCTATGAGTTCGTGATTGGAGGGTGAATCTAAAGCAATGGGGATGGACAAACAAACTCACAGTACAGACGTTATTGGGGCCGGCTCCTACCCATGTCAACGAGTGTGTCCAATCAAATGTGCTCATTGTCCTTTGGACCCCAACCCGGCAGTCGGGATGCAACAACCGACGCCAACTTCGAAGTGTGGGTTTTCATTCCTCTTGACCAAATCATTGCTTGGCCTCCCCTCCTCCGCTTCCATCCAAACCCCGGGTACGCGAACAATGCACGTCGCGGGAATTGCTTGGCTGACATACGCAACATGTGGCCCAACCGTCGGAGTCTGGGGTGTGATCTAATGGTGCTGAGCGGTTCACTCGCTCTTCCTGCACCAAATACGGGAAGCCGAACACATTCATCGCTCACGTGGTGCCCGCACCAAACATGAGGTAACCTGCGAAGGTAGCGATGGTCGAAAGTAGCTAGCCTCTTTATGTTTGTGACCAGATGGGCCAGGTTTCACAACCGTACGGCAGGGTTGAACAGACGGCTGCATTGCCAACTCTGCCCTTCAGGGCGTGAGTGACTTAGCGTCGGCGCTACAGGTAGCGGAGATTGGCAAAAGAACTTCGAGCTTTTGCTAAACGGTTTGTGACCTCATTTTCAATCCCACGGGTGCTAATATAGCTACCCAGATGCTTGAATTCCTGAACGACTTCTAACGGGTCGCCACCGAGGACTGGTGCATGAGTAGGTACCTGCCAACCTCGGAGTATTTTGCATTTCGAGTTAGCAAAGCATAGCCCAAAACAATTGACAGCAAGTGCTAATATGTCTACTGCCGCATGGCACCTGTCACATGAATGTAGTGTGGAGTACAAATCCTCGGTTTTTGGTAGTGGCTAACGGCTTATGACTGCACCGCGATTTATGGTTAATTTGTAATCGCTACAAATCCGTCCGCTGTAGTCTGGTTTAAGCACAGGGACTATTGGTGCCCCCATTCAGCTTGTTGAACTGGTACAATTATACCTTCTCGCTGGAGCCTTTTTTCTTACTCCTTGGGTCGTAAGGAGTAAGGCAGCGTTCTGGCCTTAAAACGTTTAGGTGTACTAGTGTCCTCCATATGGATCTTTGCTTTAAACTTGTTCAGTTTGCCCAACTGGTGTGTGTTGAACACGTCTGGATATCGCTTAAGAACCGAGTCCACGGTGTCCTCCCCCAAGGTATGGATAGTATTTGATACTTGTAGCAACTGTTTCATCCAGTCACGATCCAGTAGATTGACTGGGGCATGAAGCACAACATGAAGTACTAGGTTGTGTGATTTACCCCGGTGTTTATCTCGTACCTGACACTTTCCAAGTAGGCCAATCGCTACTTCTGTATACGTTTTGAAAACGGTATCACTCGGCTCCAGCTTAGGCAATGATGAGAGCGTGTTTCTGCTACTCAATGTCACAGCGGGACCGGAGTCCAATCCAAATAAAACTGGTTCGCCATTAACATAAAACGTGACCCTATGTGGAGATGCACTTGTCATATGGGAACAATTTGCAATTATATGTTTCATAAAATTTAACTGGGAATCAGGCCACTCACCTTCTTTCTGGTTCAACTATTTACTCGGAGCTTGTGACCGTGGAGAACGGCATACACGTGCTAAATGGCCACTTTTTTCCGCAATCTCTGAACTTCATGCGAATATGAGGGAACTGGGTGGGGGCCGTATGGTGGTCACCGCATCGGTAGCAGAAGAACTTTCGTAACCTATTTTCGGAGAAAAAACCTGGAGCCAGCTTCTTTGCACACTCTGTAGGATAACAGAGTTTTCGGCTTTTCTCTTTAACGTACGAGGTTGCAAATGATTTCCTATGTTAGAGTGTCTTCCTCTTGTGACAGTAACTTTTCTCTCGCGTCATCATCTATAACTATACCGATAAGGCACTGAATTTTCATGACTTCTTTGACACACATTGAGGGAATTGTATTGTATCGTCATTCTGGTCTCAAGTCAAGTCAAAATAAGCTTTATGAACGCTAATGGGTTCACTTTCAGCATGTAGACCGCCACTGCGGACCCCTGAATGATAATATCAATATACATGGGTAGAAAAGTGGAAAAAATGCGGAACTGTTACTCCAACAGGCACTCGCGCAGCATGTTAGTGATTTGCACTGGGTCGACAAGCAAACGTGAGAGATAAGGCAAAACAACATTACATTAAGGTGACGTGCGGGAGAATAAAATTCTGAATTTCGAACGAGTAGAAGAGAAAGAGAGCGTTTTGGAGAGATCATTGTGAAGTGGATGAAATCAATCAGTTAGTGTCTTAGAAGAAAAATCATTGCAGGCATCGAGATGTCTAGAAATGATCAAATCAACTAATGAATCTCTAGACAAGCCGCTGCATCTACAAATGTGTTTTATAGATCGCACCAATAAGATGTAGTCTTTCTGAAGCAGTCCAGGGAAAATGACAGGAGAGCAGTATAGCCAATGGGGAATAATACAAGAGGTCACAAACCTGAATATTAAAGTACGAGGTACTGAAAGCACCTTAAGTCTGAGGGCATAAAAAGAAAGTTTTATGACTTTTTGAAAAGTTTTACAAACGTGCGTGGACCAAGAAAGGTTCTGGGACAAAAAGCGCCGAGATACTTGACGGTGGAAGAGCTGGGTATGGAATTTTCATTCACAATAAGTATGGAGGAGAAAGCCATGAGGGACTGCAACTTATCGCCACGTAGAAAAGAGAATATTACATCCCTGCATTTAGAAGCATTAAGCGTAAGAGATCTGCATGAAGACCATTCTACCAGATCTTTCAACCCATGTTGAAGTGATGAGGAATCCTGGTTAGTGGGAGACATACATCCCAGCACATCATCAGCATATTTACACCCTATAAACGTGGTTTGTATAGGGGGATGTTCAACATACAAGGAAAATAGAAAAGGTGAAATGATCGCTCCCTGTAGAACGCCACCGTCGGCAAGGAGGACAGGGGATTTCTTACCGTTCAACTTGGTGTAATGAGTACGATTTGTAAAATAGTCACGTAACAGAGTACACACACCAGGGTGAACTCCATTTTCGGATAGCAGGTTTAGCAACCTTGACCTATCCAAACTCCCAAAGGCATTCGAATAATCCAGGAAGAGAAGCCGTACGGATTTACATTTTTGATCTAATGCAGAGGCTATAGAATGAACAACATATGCCACTGCATCCAATGTGGAGCGGTGGGATCTATACGCAAACTGGTAGATATCGTCTTCAGGAACGGCTGAGCAAATCCGCGGAATTAACAGTCTTTCGAAAACCTTCAGCAGCGCAGGTGCACATGCAATTGGGCGATACTTTTGAGATCCAATTTTTGGTACTGGAGTGATACTGGCCGCTCTCCAAATGTCCGGGATCACACCCGTAGTGAGGCACTTGTTAAAGTGGTCTGTTAGAGGCAGTGTGAGAGAATTAGCAC